ACAGATGCCGGTCAAGTTTTCCGGTGAGGCGTGGTGGACACCAGTGTGTAGGTGTGGAGTGGGGTGGGTGAGGGTAATCGGTAGGGGTGAGAATCCTTCCATCAAGGTGCAAGCATTACATTATAAGGTGCTTCGTTGTTGCCTGAGCAGATCCCTATATTTTCTTTTAATGGCAGGTGCATAGGAGACACACCAAGAAGTACGGGTTTAGATTGATCCGACGTTCAATGTCTTGGTCAAAAAACATGCACTAAAAAACCCTAACCTTTATTCAACTCTGGGGTCACTGTCGGATGGTAGAACTCGAGAAGAAAATGTGATAGATGAGAGTGCGAGGTTATTCTGTCTGTAGATGGGATCGTACGGGAAGGATCAAGTACCTCTACTCTACATGGTATAATTCGGGGTAGCGGAAGTGTGTACTGCATGCACCGCAAGCGAGATAAATCAAGGTTGATGATACATACCTACCTAGGTATCCATACCAAGCGTGATATGTCTTGATGGGGTTATCTGAGCGATGTAGGTTATCCAACTTGAGATCGGTTAGGTCGTCCCTGCTCAGCCAGGTGGCTTTTCATCTTACTAGAATAGGAAGGATGAACCGAGCCTTGAGTTCTAACTGTCCACGAGCTGTTCGCCATGGAACAAAAGAACGTGCTTGAACGCCTAATGCCTAACGCCGCAACCGGGAATTGGCAGACACCAAGGTCGGGTACCTCTACATGCCTACCTCTACTATTAGAGTACCTAGCTGACAGGAGGCATCATCGGATAATCTTGATTTTGCCGACGGAAGTCTTTCCTTGAGTTTGTCGTAGCCAATTGTAGTTCTGTCTCCCCTCCATGTGCTTCAAACGATCACATACGGTATCATGGAAGGATTCAGTTGATCGCAACGTAACGCATGACTTTTGTTTGGGATCGAGGCCTTTGTCCTACTCCAATCACCTGATACGACAGGATCCTTACCGGGCGCAAGGGACTTGGCTATTTGGTACAAAGTAGACGATGAGGACGTTGATAAGGTAGCGAGGTCCAAGTAAATGTCTGCACACCCCTCCGTGCGTGATTTATCCGACACTTCACTCATACAAGAAGTGCTCATGTCTTGCCGCCTCGCACTCCAGAAGGATTGCCAAGCCTAGGACTTGACATTCTGTCGACTTTTGGCTGTATCCCATCATGAGCTTTGTTCCCGCCCCCCCTCGAAAACGACCAATCTCTTCGTGTCTACCATGCTACCATCGAAAACAAAAGGTTGGTGGGACAAAGACGTTGCGGATGACGGATTGCATCCCAATGCCATCCTTCGGGTCTTGAGCCATGTGCTAACAGTGCTACGCCGACAGTGTAACCGAGAGATACCGTGTAACCACTGCTCTCGCCGACGGTGCATTGAATCTTGCGTCTACTACGCAAACCCCAGTTCAAGCTCAGCGACCAGTCCCGGTGCATCATCCGCATCGTCGACATCCACGACAGCGCCGTCGGTCACGTTTGGCATACAGAAAGAACCACCACGCCGGTTCGAGAGATACTCCACCCGATTTGCACTGAAAAACGGAGAGTATAAATATACTAGTAGTCAGCGACGGAGGAGTGGAAGTTGGGGAGGCCGGGATCTGCTTCGGAATGAGTGGAGCCGGTGGGGTGGTACCGCCGGAGCGGGAGCGGGAGCGGGCGCGGGAACGGGTTCTTATCCAGGATGTTCGTCCGGATCTGCGAGACCCCCCTTTTGGACAAATACCACGGAGACGTGGTCGGGACGGGCTCTGGCTGAATCGTTTGGCTATTTCGAAGGGAGTAAAAGCAACACACTGGCACTCATCCTAAAGGCGAGTGGAGCTCCATGTCTTGGTCCCAAACGTAGGGTTACACAACTGTAGAGACGTGAGCTAACAATTGATGTAGATGGGACTCGACCAGGACAATATCGACTCTGAGAGCTCTCCAGTTCTTGTAGCTGAAGCCGCCGAAGATGTTCATCGCGTCATGCGTGACATTCCCGATCGACAGATCATCGACTTTCTGGTGCAATTCTTTGTAAGAGAGATCAGCTGGTACGTCCCACGGTTACATCCATCCTCCCCACCACAAGCTTCATGTCTGTTCCGAACTGACCATGATTCGTCCCACCAGGATGGATCAGGTAGTCCACGTTCCGTGGCTGATGAGCAAGTATCAAGACTGGTGTAACACACTCTCGGCAGAGGAATGCCGTGCTGCCGACGCCAACGACGTACCCAGGCAAATCCGCGTGATGGACGTGGATTTTGTCGTCCTGTTGCTTCGCATTGTCTCATATGCCTTGCAATTCCTACCTTCTCCGATTTATCCACTCGATCGGATCCGTGGTGTGCTGCTTGCCGATGTGCGAAATGAGTGCGACGATATCGCCAATACTCTGGAGGCCATGAGCTGGGCGCTCGATGGTCGAGGATCCTTGATTCGAGTCCATCAAGTTGCATTTGCCGCGCTCAAGTGCCAAACCGAAGGGAACATCAAGGCCTGCTGGGAAACCGTGAGCCGTGCTATTCGCATCGCCCAGAGCATAGGTATTCACAGCGATAGCGTAACCGCGATTGGGGCGAATGAAACCGAAAAGGAAATGGCTCGTCGCATCTTCTGCAACCTTTACACTTGGGACAGTCTTCTTTCCCGCCAGCTAGACCGCATGTACGCACTTCCAGGCCGCCTACACCCCAGGAACTGGCCTCAGCTGCACGCTCTTCCCGAGTACAGAGACAGGGGAGAACAAACACCACCAACAATGCCCCTCAACCGCGGCCTGGAAGCGCCCGACCCCTTCACTGAACGGCTTCTCCAAGCCCGTCTGGCCGACTTTTGGCGCAGCGTCAGCCCCCTGCAGGGCAACGAAGATGACATCATGGCAGCTGAAGAGCGGTACGACAAGTTTTCGCGCGAGTTCCTCTCCCAGCTCCCTCCAGCATTCGCTCTTGCCGACGCAGACGAGTCGTGGGACAGACTCTTGCCCAAACTACCTCTGCAGCGACAGATGCTGCACATGGCCATTTACGACTCGTTATGCTGGAACTTCCGACCGCTGCTGTTTTGGCATCCCTCGAGTTCGTTGTCCTTACCCCCTTACAAGGTACTCCTCCTGAGATACCAGAAGAGAGCTGTGGCCGGTGCTGCTTTGCGGTCGCTCGAGGCTGTCGCGCGTTTGCACGCACTCTTGGGGGGCTATCATACTCGGCTTCCGGGCATCGTCATGTCGACTTTTGAGGCGGCTGTGCTGTTGTTGCAGTTGTGTGCGGATCCATCATTTCTGGAAGACGATAGCTGCTTGAACATGCAGCAGCAGCAGCAGCAGCAGCAGCATATCACACCCCGGTTGGACCCAATGCGGGCAAACGCACACATGGTCAATAGGCCAGCTTGTATGGAGGCTGTGGAAGGAGCTGTTAAGCGGCTCAAGATGCTTGCGGAGGTGAGTAGCCTGGCGGATATTGGGGCAAGCACGCTGGTAGAGCTGCTAAGAAGGACGACGACTTCGGAAGAAAAAAGTGGCACAGAGGTGCTAAGAAACAATCAACTGCCCCTGGAGACGAATGTAAGCACATCAAAGACCTTGACAGAGACGGTGAATGAGACGATCCATGTGGCAACCCAGGACCATGCCGGCCTGCAGGTGCCCCAGGGTCAAGGGCAGGAGGTTGGGTCGGTCGAGAGCTTGCACAATACCCCTAGGACGACTACAAGCTCTCTAGCGGGTGAGACGGTGGTCGATGAGGCTACCATGGTCACGGGCTGGAATGCCGCATCTGCCGAGTCGTTTGATGTGAGCTTGGCGATAGATATGCCCTCGTCCCTGCAGGACTTCATGTCGACGATGACGGTGGGGGATATGGCGACCTGGTCTGCATTTGATGAATCCAGCATCTTTCCGCCGGAATCTGAGTACGTAGGCGACATCCCAGCGACAGAGACATTCAAAGGTTGAAAAGCTGTACTTGTCGTGTGGACAAGCCGGGCGAAGTTGGATGGCGGTTGAGTTAAGGTCCTCGACGCGGGGATGGGCGGCGGGGCGCGGCAGGGCGCGGCTTTCCAGTATGTTGTGGCGCCTCATTGTGGAGGTCGGGTTCAGACGAACCTGCAATGAATTAGATGCGCTGTTATCTCAACACCTCCATTGCCACTGTGGATTCCGTTAGTGTAGTAACGACCCCGCGATGCGGTGGACCCCTCTTGGCCTCTTCAATCCCTACAGCCCCGGCTCCCACCAACAGGCACTAAAGGGAGACACCCGCGCTTGACGAACAGGAAGGACTGTCTGGCATCTCGATTACATTCTGGATTGGGAAACGGTCAGTGGAAGTCGGAGGCAGGAAAGGAATCATCAGTGGAACTTGGTGGAACCAAGTGGAATTCTTGAGAGATCCAATATTGACGTTCAAAGGGCGACTACTTCTTCTTATAGCTCTCCTCGTTGCCATGTATACAGTGCTCAAAACACAGTAAAACCCCCTTTCGCGAATGCAGGAATGTCAATACGACTGAGAGCAGATTCAAGCTCTTTTCTTTCTCATTTTAGGTCTTCAGGGGTGAGAAATGGAGGGGCGCCACTGCATCGGGCGTCGGTTAATCGGCCATTGTGGTGTCATGAGCCGATGAACCCCCAACCATTGGCTGATAAACGCTGGGCTGTCTGTACTGTGTTCGAAGTAAGTAAGACTCGGACTGGAAGGTCAAGAACAAATCATGGTTCAAACGACGAACCAAACCGTCACGAAGGACTCTGGCTGACAAATTGTCCTTCTTCGCTTCGACTCGTGTTCGCTACCTAGATGGCAGGGTGTACCACTTACGAATGCAACACCTGTCTAGTGTATGAGGGAGAGAGCTTCGGAGATAAAGCATCATAGGTCCCCGGACAATCTGTACCTACTCCAGACCCTCAAGTGAAGCATTCAGGATCGATTATCATTCAGCGAGGAACCAGTAACATCCATTTAACTCGAAAGTCTCAGTCAAAAATGGCCTCCTTCCTCATTACCGGCGCTTCAAGAGGTCTTGGACTCGCCTTCGTCAAGGAACTCGCCTCTCGCAAGTCCTCCGAAGTCAGCAACATCTTTGCTGGCGCTCGCAGCAACGTCCCTGCCCTGCAGGAGCTTTCCAAGACCGACCCCCGTGTCCAATTTGTCAAGCTCGATGTCACCAACCCGGAATCCGTCAAGGAAGCGGCTGCCCAAGTCGAGAAGAAGCTGGAGGGCAAGGGACTCGATGTGTTGATCAACAACGCAGCCGTCTGCCACTACGACATGCAGAAAATGAGCAACCCGACGCTGGAGAAGGATATCATGAGGGAGATGTAGGTTCCTCTTTTCTTTATTGGTTGCATGTGTGTCGTGAATTTTCAGAACCTGTAGATCCTCTCATGCGTAGGTACTAACTGTACCCTTGCAGGACCGGCCTGGAGGAAGAATTCCAAGTCAACGTCTTGGGCGTCCAGTACACCACTCGCGAGTTCCTTCCTCTGGTGGAGAAGTCCGAGCTGAAGAAGGTTGTCAACATGTAAGAAACCCCTCCCCATAAAATCTCCATTGTGGCAGAACAACTCACAATTTATACCTACCCACATGCAGTACCAGCACCTTCGGCTCCATCTCCTCCGCTTCCGACCCGGCTATTGCGTGGTCGCCTTGCCCAGCCTACAAGATCACAAAGGCGGCTTTGAACGCTCTGACTGTCCAATATGCGCTGGAGTATCAGAACAAGGGCTTTTCCTTCATTGCTCTCTGCCCTGGGGTACGTCCATGTCCTTTTCTTCGGTGAGTCATGTGTATTTCTGTGGGCGGTGACTGACATTGATGTGTGAACAGTGGCTAAAGACGGATATCGGCAGCCAGATGGCTGATCTGACAACCGAGGAGGGTGCCAAAGCCTCGTTGGACATTATCCTGACACCTGGACAGGTGTACAACGGGAAGTTCCCCATGATCAAGGTCAAGGGCTGGGAGACCCAGGAGGAGGCTGCGTCCCATGGCGGATATGCTGGAAAAAACGTGTATGATGGCCGCAACATTCCCTGGTAAAGGAGAGTGAGATATGGATCCTGTAAACAAACCTCGGCCAGTCAATCAAATTACCTGAAGTTGTAATGCTCATCTTCATACCAAGCATTACCGTCAAGTTTCTCTAATTAGTAAACTGATATGTCTTGGGGAAGACTCCGCAGCAGTTGCTCGGGTAGGAGACGAATGAGATTTGACCTGGAACAGAAAGATGTAACGCCTGAGGAAACTGGAGTTGCAAGCAGCGCCTTGCAAAAAAAAGAAAAAAATCGACAAGTCACATTCCGCCACATGCAATGACACACGTTTCTGGTTTTTAGAATACCCAAAACAAAAGAGAACAATCGCTCATTCTGCGCCCATCACTCCTCCTGTTCCACCTCCGTCATCTTCAACGCTTCTCCAACATCGCTTACAAAGTGTCCTTCACCTCCGACCAAGTCCACAATCCCGCTCCTCTTCATCATCTTCCACACCTCACTGTCCTTGCCTCCGGGGACTCGACTAAAGAAGACCCTCACGCCCCTTTCTCTATAACCCCTGACAATCTCCTCCAGCACCTGCGTCCCGCTCCCATCCATGCTTGTCACTCCATGGACATCAAAAATGATGTTTTTGTTACTGTCTTCCTGCCTCAATCTGGGCAGGGCGGGATGGGCCTCGTTTGTCCCGTAGCGCTCCAGTCTCCTCAGCCTTGACTTGAGTTCGCCAGTGTTGGCAAACGTCAAGGGCTCGGGAATTTTCACAATCAGACATCCCTCAATGAATTCCAAACGGTCGGGAGAGTCAGTGAAGAACTCTGCGTTCTCGAACCGGTTGGTGCCGGGAATGCGCCCCAGGATCTGGATCCGCGGGCGGGTGGCGTTGCGAATGACCTGCAGCAAAGAGATACCGACACCGATGGCCATGCCGAGAGTCAAAGAGAAGAAGATGGTGGAGAGAAGGATGATGGCCATGAGGGCGAGCTCGGGCCAGGCGCGCAGGCGCAGGAAAAAAGTGATATCATGCGGGCATTCTTCGATGAGAGACCAGGCTACGACGCTGATGAGGGCCGAGAGGACGGGTTTCTGTGCCGAGTTAGTACAATATCCAGCGAAGAGATAGCCGTCCTTGAATGGGGCCGCCGAGAGAAATACTTACCGGAAGATAGTAAAGATAGGGAAGGAGGAACAAGATGGTGAACAAGGTCAAGAGGCTGAGGAGGATCGAGCTCATAGGTGTCTTTCCACCAGTAGCCTTGTTGACCTTGCTCCTCCCATACCCTCCAAAGGCAGGTAAGCTCATGAAGCATCCGCCAACAAAGTTTGCCACGCCCAGAGCCACCAGTTCCCTGTTTGCGCTCAGCTGAATCCCAGCAAACGGCTCGCTGCTCGAGAGACTCTTGGCCGCGACCGAACTCTCAAAGAACCCGAGCAGAGCAATCAGGAACGACGTGCCCATCGAGTCCCTTATGAGTTGCATATTGCTAGGCTGGAATGGCCATCTGAACTTGAAGGTCTGATGACTCGCCGCCTCCACTGTCCCCAACACCGCAACGCCCTTTTTATCCCACTGGAACCAATACGCCAAGAAGGATGTCAGAACCACGACCAAGAAACGATCCGGCACGTATGCAACTCCCGGATACCTTGGCTGCATCCGCCTCTTGATCTCCCTGCAAACCATGATCACCACAAAGCTCGTACCGGCCACCACCGCTGTCAGTTTATGTACCTTATCCAAGTTTCCAAGGATGAACCGCAGCTTCTCCACCGAGCTCCCGTGTCCGATGCCGGGGTGCTTCGCGACAAGATGGTTCAAGCCGAGCTCCGGAATGAGCTGATCAACAGCAATGACTACACCGATTGCAGAGATAAACCCTCTCAAGAACGGCCTAGACAAGACACTATCCAAGAAGCCCAATCTCGCCACTCCAGCAGCGAAGACCATCGCCCCGGCCATGCCAGCAACGATTCCACAGATCTTGGCATGAAGCACCCTATCCTCGTCTCCTCCTCTTCCCAGGTCGACACTAGATTTCACCGCCGCGCCCACCAAGAGACTGCCAGCTGCTTCGGGGCCAACGATTAGAGCGGGACATGACCCCAATAGCGCGTATATGAGCGGATTCCAGACGAAAGAGTATAGGCCGTTGATAGCAGGGACGTGTGCAAGGTTGTCGGCCAGGGAGAGGGCCATGGGGACATACATCCCTGCGACTGTCAGGGCGGCAATGAAGTCGCCTTTGAAGTAGGACCAGCTGTATTCGCGAGCCCAGACTAGGACGGGGAGGTAGTAAGAGAGGTACATGCCGGGGGTGTCCTTAACACCATGGCGACGGGCAAGATCTCTCGAGGTGTGCATTTTCTGGGTGGTGATGTGAGAGGAGATCTGGCGCTTCCAGCTCTTTCGCTTGTGTTTGGGTTTGCCTGATGCTGGCCCTTCAACGTTCGCCGACTCGGAGTTGTAGGGAGAGAAATCGAGATCGGTGTCGGTGGGTGCGTCAAACGGGAAGCCGGGAAGCGAGTCGGCGTGACTAGCATTGCTGGGGCTCACGGTTCGGGCATCGGTAAAGGTGCCGTGGCCGCGCTCTTGGGAGAGGAGGCCAGTTCTCTCGTTTGGAGTGACTGAGCGGACAGTATGGTCATTACTGGGCCCAGCGCCGCTATCCTCATCGCCGTCGCGCTCAAAGTCCGAGGTCGAGCTGTATGATGACGAGACAGTGTAGCTTTGTCGGAGACCGCTAGGATGGGCGGGGGCGTGGTCGTGGGTCGGCCCCGTTGGTGCCTGCGCATTAGGCGGGTTCGAGTTCAACGGCCCGGCGATGGAGCGCAACGAGGAAGGTCGGGAGGGCATATTCGCGGCCCTTGGTGATCGGATCCGATCGATTCAGAGCGCGTGTGTTGTTGTTGTTGTCGTCGTCGTCGTGGTAAGCCTCGGCAGCTTGTAGGACTCGGTCGCTATGGCGAATACATCGGTCGGTCGGGATGGCAGCCGTCGGTGTTTTTGATGGCCCGGTGTCGTCGCCTCGTCGCTCGTGTCTGTTGCTGGGTCGGTCGATGGAGAAGATTAAATATACAAGCCCAACACAGCTGACGTACACTACTCAAAAGCCTGATCTCAACCAGGTCAGTCGGAGACCGCGGAGTGAAAAACCGAAGTGGGAGATGGTACTTTACCTAAAAGTTATAAAATGTTTTGTTTGGGAAATGGCTTGGCTGCAGTGCGGTCTGCTGCGGTGCGATGCGGTTGGCCATTGGTGCGGGGGACGTCACAGGCCCCTCCAGAAAGACACCCCCCTTGTAACTTGGAGGATCTAGGTGTAGGGGTCTGGACCAGCTGACCAAGTCATGTTTTTGACCTCCAGTCTAAACCATGGTTTCGAACAAGTGTTGGAGGCGAGTCACTGACACATCGATCTGGATGTCCGGGCATCTGTCAGGGGTCTTAATCGAGATCGGCCCCACAAGGCTACGGTGCCCGGGCCGCCGGACGGGACCTGGCCCGACGGGCGGGACCACAGCCGGACCCAACCTCGTCTTTAACCCTAACCCGGATTCCCTCTTCCATACTTCTTCTTCCATCCATATCATCCGTCATTCTTTTTTTACTCTTGTCGCTCTCTGTCACTAAATAAATGTTCGTTGTTCCATACTTCTACTCGATACTTCGTGCCCTTGAAGTGATTGATCCCTACCACCAAAGCATCTGAACGTCAGGCCTCTCATCTGGAGCGAGAACCTCTGAGTCCTCTTGTTCCTCCCCAATTTGATGCAATCATCTCGCTTTATAATGTCCCTTCACCCTCCAGCTTCCGCACAACTTTCACAAATTCGTCAACTGCCATAGATTAGCTTTGTCGTTTCCAACCTCAACTTCCATATAACGGAAGAGGCCACGCTTATATGTAGTAAAGAAGGGAAGCCTACAATCCATCTCCCTCCCCGTGTCCACCCCACAATCATTGCACGCCCTCTCGAGTTGCTTAGCATCCAGCGTCCGTCCACCAAGTGCCTGAACAGCCGTTACAGCCTCGCGGACCGAGAGGGTGTTATCGCCGTCGCGATCACCTGATTGGAAGGCATTACGGAGGGCGTCTTGGGATGCCTATGTAACAGTTGGAGTTGGATAGTTGTCAGTAGAGGTAGAAGATTGGAGCTACTTAGCTGGAGGGATGAAGGTGGGGTCAAGCGAATTGGTCATCGATGGAAAGCGATTTGACATCTTACCATTGTATCCGAGAAATGAGAATTGCCTGGACCGGTCAGCAGGTAGGCGCGGCAGTGATGCGTGAAACCAAAAGCAGATATGGGGATGAAGCTGAAACTCAAGAAACCGAGGGGCAGCGAGGGAGTGCCGACCTTATACCAATACCAAGCAGAGGGGTTCATCGCTCAATTTAGAAGCCAGACCTTAGAGTATCATGGTAGCAAGAAATGTCGCATGCAGCTGAGAGATGCTTTGAACATCATTGGGCCACTCCATCCCAACTATGACTTGTGGCTGGCTGTTAGCAAAATCAGGGGCAACATTGGACGAATCTGGACCAGGTAAGAACCATGGAAACTAAAGAAAAGGGTGGTAACCAAGAAGTTGACTACTAATCTATCATCGCTAAATCTGCCTTACAAGACCAATACTGTAGTCATCTGACGCTCGATAAAGAAGTGGGGGGTCTCGACAACCGCGCTATATGCTCTAATACGCAACATGATGCAGTGGCTTGCTGCACCAACCAGTCAGCCCACAGCTCCAAGCTAACAGTGTGGTGCAAAGTATGTGCCGGAGAAAGATGAAGAATCAACGCCCTTCCCCAAAAGCCCAGATTCCTCTTGAAAGACTGGGCACGCATTGAGTCCCAGGTTAAAAGGTTCAAAAACACCGCCCTCTCTCAAAAGTGCAGCTAGAACCACAAAGGGGGCCCAGCTTGCTTTTTTAATCTAATGTTATTACACGCCTCTTTGCCACCTTAATGGTTAGTCAAGGACTTTTCGATGGCGTTCACAATCTAAAGCCAATGTTAGCAAGTAATGATGGGTCGTCAACCGGCACAGGAAACAGGTTAAGCACTCACCGAAGAATCAATAGCGTTGTGGTTGACCAGATACTTTGCAATGAACAGCAACAACTTCTTATGGTCGTCAATGGTCAACCGGGTCGCCACAATCTCCAACACCTCGTCGAAATCGACCTTGGACTGCGCGATGAAAGTGTGGTAGTAAATGTAGGCGAAGAAGCCCATGATGAACTGGCAGTCCATGCGATCGGTAATACCGCCATGGCCCGGAATCGAGTGGCCAAAGTCTTTGATCTTGAACGTGCGCTTAAGACCCGAAGCAAAGAAGCCACCGAACGGCGCGATCAGGGAAGCGAACGTGGCCCAAAAGAAGGTGTGGATCTGCATTGGCGCCATGGTGATGCTAAAGCGCGTCTTGGTGGGGAAGAACAGCAACTCGGGCATGGTCCAGGTCTGGGGGATGAAAACCGGGTTGGGCTCGCAATCCAGTCCGGTAAAGATGTTGGCGCCCAGGTCGTTAGCAGGGCAGATGAAGAAGCGGGAGCGCATCAGAATATGGGTGAGTAGAATGCCGAAGAGGACGGTCATGACCCAGGCACCCAGAAAACCCTCCACCGTCTTCTTGGGAGACAACTTGATCAGCTGGGTGCGGCCAAAGGTGATGCCGCAGACGTAGGCAAAGATGTCGTTGGTGATGACGAGGGCGGCGGGGAGGAAGAACCAGATCAAGCCGTCGAAGACGTTGTTCATGATAAAGTGCGACTGGCCGACAATGAGGAACAGGGCCATGTGCGCCCAGACGAACTGGGTGAACTGGAACTTGAGGTGGCCACCCTTGAGAGTGCTGACGAAGAAGACGAAGCCTGGAGCAGAATTATGTTAGCTTGGCCTTTGCCTCTTAAGGAGAGAAGGAGCGGCGCATACCAACGACGTAAAGGGTGAAACAGATGAAGCGGTGGTGGGTAGCCAGCGGCAGGAGGACTCTATCGACCATGACAATATGCTTGAAGTAGTAAATGACGGTTTCGCCGTGTAGAAAATACATGGCTACCGCCAGCCAGTACCAATTCAAGCTCTTGGTAGACTGAATGTCCCGGGCGCGACTAGCTCCGCTCGAGATGGCAATGACCTCTTTGAAGGAGATGATCTGGACGGCCGTGATGATGACGACAATGTAGATGTGGCCCATGAAGAGGGCGGCGAAGAAGCCAGCGATCATGACGAAGGTCCATAGGGTGCGCTCGATGAAGTTGGCCTTTTTCTTTTCGTAATCGGAAAGCTGCTGGTTGTCGCCGGCATCCTTTGATTTCTAGAGTGGACAAATTGTTAGCCGAGACTGCACGAGCAACAACATGGCAGAGCTGTGAGCTGGGCATGATGGCAGCAGCGCATAACATGGGCAAGATAGGTACCTCTTGGATATTCGCGAGCGCCCTGGTCTTGGAGGGGGAGCTCTCTTCGCTGGCCTCGCTCATGCTGCTGCGACGGCCGCTGTGGGGGAACTTAACCCCGCGACGAGACCGGCCTGTCATGGCGGTCGTATGTGTATAGCCAAAGGTATGCGATCAGGGGGAGTAGTGGCGGTTGCTATCTCGATGCGTAAGGCAGTATGCGCAGGTCTTTGATTGTACGTTCCGTTGTCGTGGTACTTGGTGGCAGAGGACAGCGAGATGCCTGGTGTTCGGGGGACGGAGTCAGCAAAGACGGACGGGAAGATATCGATGGGGTCCGTCGATGGAGCAGTCAGTGGACTGGATGGGGGAGAGTCCACCTTGGCGTTAATGGGCCGGCTCGAGTCGTGATGCTGGAAGTTCCTAGCGTACCTATGTCGAGGCTCGGTTTTGCAGCAAGGCGACAGCGCCCCAATAGTACTAAGGTAAGTAGTCGAGATGGTGATGCCGTGGTGATGATGATACCTAAGTAATGATGATGCCTTGCAGACAGACAGGCCTATTATCGATGTGTCCGTCTGGCTTCCCTGATCGTCGGTTCCAACTTTTTTTTTGTCCCAAAGTGGAATTTGCTGGACTGGAGCCAGCAGATTGCGATTGTTGGGACGGGACGACGGGACCAGGAAGCACGACTGAGAACAAGCGCGGAGGGGCCACGGCCAAGCATCCAACACTAACACCCGCTAGCAGCCAGCCCAGAGCGAGCCAACAAGCGGTGCTACCTGTGCTACCGAAGTGGGACGGTGTCGACGCCGAGGGACGTGCTACGTCAATGTGGCTGAGCTTTGTCCATCCGTGCACAAGGATTGGTCAAATGGGGGACGAGGAAGTGGCTGGTTACTTATTAACTTGGCAAGTAAGTTGAGCCTTGTCAGACTCGCGCAGTTCAAGGAAAGGCCGTCTTCACACAGCGAGGCAATCACGACGACCAGTCAGGTGCTCTAACATGGAAGTCATGAAAATATTTTCTCTTCCAAGCTGACCTCCACGATCCCGCAAACTGCCTGCCAAAATATTATAGAAAGGAAGCTTCAGTCAGTTATCTGATTGTACCGACATCGATGTACCTATGGTAACACAGCGGGAATCTACGCCCTGAATGTGGCTTGACCTTTCCACCCAAAATCACATGCGTTGAGAGGAACACTCCCGACTTCACTTCAAGTTCCCTTTCGTCTCGCAGCTGTCCATCACCCAATCATTGACCGCATGTGAACTGAAGAGTCCCGCTACCCCACAAAGACAGACGTACCTGTCAAAGGCCAACGCAACCGCGACATTCTTGGACAATCAGACTTCCATTGGGTTTGACTGACTATTTCTCAATCTTTTTCCTGAACCCCTGGTCGCTTTTTGCCCATTTCTGTTGGGGATTCTGTCTATCAAGGTGGCTTTGTTACCTAGTAGCAGGCACATATTTGTAGCAGTACATAGATCATTTACACCCTAACCCTGGTTTTCTTTCGTCTTCACAACCCGCGTTCTCCGTCCTGTCGGCTGTTGCCTGCCCGTTGCCATGGCACCATTCCCAAACAGGCTGAATGACAACATTGAACCCATCCCCATGTTCTAATTTTCCTTCTCGATCCGCGTAGACCGCGACATGCTCGGCGGGCTCATGGCCATGACCAGGCGCATGCTCGCCCACCATGATGGACCTAGACTCTTATTCCGACGAAGACCTCGATAATCTCGACGGCGATCTCCTTCAACAACTCGAACACAATGCCATCCAATTCACCCAGAGACAGGCCCAGTCGCAAGCCCCGCCACGCACCCAATTCCAACTACCCGGGAGCACCGCCCAGCAACCGCAGTACATATCCGACGGCGACGACGACTACGACAATGGCGAAGTCATAGACCAAGCCGCTCAACCCCTGACACTCCCACGATCCGGCCTGCCCAACCCGGCGCCCCAGCCCTTTCGTGCCGTGCCCAGCATCGCCGGCCAACAAAGGCTGAACCATCAACGACAACAGGCAAACCAGCAGCGATATGGCCAGCAACAGGCTTTTCGACCGAACCCCCAAATCGCCCCGTCGCAATATCCACGAGGCCCTTTGGGAGCTCCCGGGCGCCCGCTTCCCCAGTCCCAATTCCTCCGCCAACAACCACACCGGCCAGCTCAAATCATCCGCCCCTATGTCGGCCAACAGCCACCGGCCACCCAAGGCCTCCGTGGCGCTGGTCAAGACGCCGACAAGCAAAAAGACGAAACCATCCGTTCCCTCGAAGCCGAGCTCTCCAACCTGCGCACCCAGCTGACGACGGCCAAGGGCGAAGCCAACCTCATGCGCTCCAAATATGACCGGGACATACCGCAGCTTAAGAAGGAGATGGCCGAGGAGAAGGCCAAGATGGAGAAGAGGCTCCAGGAGGCGCAGAAGGCACAGCAAGCGGCTAGTAACGAGTTGCTGTTTGCCAATGCAGACCTACAGGAAGAGCGGGGGAGAGCAAAGACCAAGAAGGTGGGCAAGGATGGCGCCATGACGCCGGGTGGCAGGAACAAAACGAAATGGATACCGGACGGGTTCAGTGACGTGGATGTATCGGGATTGGGGAGTCCCAGTAGGGATAAAGCGGGGAGGAGAGAGCGGTTGAGGGATCAAGGGAATGCCGGTACGCCGACAAAGGGGAAAAGGAAGAGGCCGGCGGTGGATAGTCCGTCTTTTGCTTTGGAGATGGAGACGGACGGGGCTGTTTTCGAGGACTCTGACTTGTTTGCCCCGAGGTCCACCAGTACAAGAACCGGACCGAGTTTGCCTTATGATGTGAGCGAGCCCAGATTCCCCTCTCCGCCGACGCCTTCAAGTAAACCACTGACCTTCTTTGCAACAGTTTCTCAAGCTCGTCCTCGACCATTCTCCCCTCCCATCCCTGCCTCTAACCTTTGAAGCCTTTGCGCGATTCTGCTTCCCATCAAAACCCTCCGCTTCCTTTGCCTCCATCATCTTCCGGCGTCTTCCCCAACTGGGCGTCTCCAACCTTATCAACAGCTCCGACAATGACCCCTTCCGTCTCCTCGTCGACTTCTCCGAACTCCTTCTCGATATGTGGCAGCAATGCTTGTCCGAGCGCTATCATTCGCCCATCTACTACCTTGCCGGTCTGTTGCAGTTCATCCTGCAGCTGAACGCTGTGGATGTGGCGCCACGGATCACGAGCAGTTTGGTGCCGGTGGTGGTCACCACTTGCCAGCTTGTGGCGTTGCCGAGATTAAATTTGAAGATGGTAAATGAGGGAGGAGGCACGTTGGAGGACTTGGAGCAACATCCAGACCCGGCCATGAGGCTGTTAGCAGCAGATATCGATGTTACGCAGTGTCTTAGGTTGCTGTATCTCTGTGCTGTGGGGTGTTCAAAGCCACCCAGTGTTGATCAACACATGACATCACCTCAAGCTCGGTTCTGGAAGACCATGGACTTGGAGTTTGTTGTCCTGATGCTGAGCGCTAAACAGCCGGAACAGGATTGGAGGGAAATGTTGAGTCTGTTGAGGACGAGTGCTATGCCTGGGAGCGTAGGACCGTTGCCGAAGCCTGACTCTAATGCTGATAGCAACACGATGTTGGCGGTTCGAAGTCGACCACAGGTTCAATCTCGCGGCAGCGGCAGCGGTCATAGTCGGGGCGGTCGTGCCGGTCAAATGCTCCCACCCCCTCCTCCCATCCGCAACGCTGACAATGTCGACAAACCACCCCCCAACCCTGAACCAGGCTCACAAGAAGCATCAACAGCCCAAATTATCATCGACTGCGTCTCATCCTACTTGGTCGATACCCCGCCGAGATGGGCCTCCCCCGGATCCGCGCGCGAGGTATCTATCAAGCTTGCTGCCTTGCAGACGCTCATGTCTTTTGCCTCTAGCTCGTTTGGTTTGTTGCAGCTCGCTAACAGCGATGTGGCCATTCCGAGGATTGTATCCGCCTTGTGCTGGGCGGTTGACGGGCTTTATGACGCTGATGTTCCGTCCATGGCTTTTGATAACCTTTCTATCGCTTCTGAGGACACTAGGAGGAAGAACGATATCCAGAAAGAGGGGCACAGCAATCGGAAGAGGCACGGATATGATAGTGGAATGTCGACACCGCAGTTATTGTCACAGCTGATTTCCAGGTCGACGAATCTGTTACACGCATTGGTCACGCATCCCAAGACTTCCGGCATCGTCAACCCTATCTCCCGCAAGCTTGCCACACCGGTATCACCCGGACCGCCGACATTTACACATCCGAGAACCGGCCGCGGCGCTTCTAAGGGCCGCAACCCCACCCGCGGTGTTCCCATTCGATCCACAGCCCTGCACGCCCTGCACAGCCGTGCAGCTCCCAATGCCGCCGCCAGACATGGGCAGAACTCTCGCCATAACCTCCAATCAAGCGTCGCCAATCCTCACGCCGCGGCCGTTAGCAACATGACCGCTGCCCTCCCCCATCGTTACTTAGTGTCTCTCGGCAGGCTCAACTTCGCCGAAGAAGATCTGGTTTTTGAGCAAGGTATTGACGAAGAGACGGTCGAGCGAGCGCATGAGTTGCTGGAGCTGGCAGTGGAGAGGCGAGAGGGTGAGAAGGTCAAGGGGGTTTTTGAGGGAGGGCAACATGAAGTTGACGGGATATGAGGAGGTTGTAATCAAGGCTGACAGTCAGGCTTGGGGTGGGGGGAAGGAGAAGGGAAGGGATTTCACTTTGGTTTTCTTTTTGATACCCATAGATCTTTCGAAGTTTACTGTTGTGTGATAATGCGAGACATGATCTGCAATTTGATCAGATTGAAGATCAACGTTTTGGTGTTCCTCTTCCTTGGGCAACTTCTACATTTGAATTTCGTGAAAATAAGCCAAGTGTAACTGAGTTTATCCTACCGCCCATGGACGAGGTAGGAGATACCGTATTTTCTTTACGGAGCAAATATTGCTCGACGGAGGAAATTGCGGTAGAGGTTTAATAAGGTGACTTGAGTAGTTAGTTACTTCCAAGGAAGATATATCGATCTTTTGCACCCTACTTGTGTTCATGGAGATTTGCGGGAAGAATACTTTGGCGTGCTTAGTCCTCTGTGGGGACATTCCTGTCTCGTTGACAACTAAAGCGGAAATAGGGAAGTTAAGTGAGCGAATACTCTTTCCGATTCCGCCACCGCACTTACCTTCTCGTCAGTATTTAAAATCTTTCGGCAACACGCCAAACAGTTACTTTCACTCCTCGACAAAAGAGCCTTGCCATCAGCAAGAGGAACCACCTCCAGGGTCATCAACACAGATATATATAAGTA